TTTTGTGAAACTTCTTGGTTCTCCTAGCGATGATGTCCGAGAGCAGGTATACACGAAAAAATAGATTAAATTTTGTTCATAGTTATTTATAATGGATTTGTCTTGTCCTTGCTCTTCTTCTATTATACTTCTGAGGTATGCAATAATATTTGTATTTCTGGTTCTGACAACATGACTTTTTCATCATTTAGGCTGTGTGGGCTCTAGGAAATGTTGCTGGTGATTCACCAAAATGCCGTGATCTAGTCCTTAGCTGTGGTGCTTTGGCTCCCTTGTTGGCCCAATTTAACCCAAATGCCAAGCTATCTATGCTGAGAAATGCCACTTGGACACTTTCAAATTTCTGTAGAGGGAAGCCACAACCTTCTTTTGATCAGGTATGTCCTAAACGCTTGATTTATTTGTTGATCAGTGATCAATGATACAGACTTTTAACAGTAGTCATATATTCTTAGTCCTTGCTGATGAGGAATGAGCAAGGAGTTCCATTTCCCTTATCATAAGTAATACTGTGGGAGGTTGTTCCTTCCCTCATTTCTTAATAGCTTATAGCAAATAAAATGCAAATGCCCGGAGTTCAATTTAGGTGAAGTTGTTTCATTGGACAAAGCAGGGTTTTTTTTCCAAGACTGTAACAAACCACCAGGTTGTCCTAGATGCATTTTACCTGTTACAGTCTTCTTTAGAAGCAATTAATAATTTACTGATTTTGTCGAAAACTTAAGATAGGTTTTCTGAACAAAAGCAGTGGAAACTTCTATCTTATTTATTGTTTGAATAGTGTTAAGACTCATTACTACGATTTCCTTTTCTACATATGTATGTTTTTAAGTTACTGTTTTATGATATGTAAGACACGTTAGCCCAACTTTTTCTGTCTTCATTTTAAGACTTCTTTATCCCTTAAGTGGTAGATCGAAATTGACATTTACTCCCTCCGTTTCAATTTATGTGAACCTATTTGACTCGGCATGAAGTTTAAGAAAAAAGAGAAGACTTTTGAACTTGTGGTGTAAAATGAGGCACATATATTTTGTGTGGCTATAAATCATTGCATAAAGGTAAATTATTTCCAAATATGGGAAGGGGTAATTCATTTTGGCACGGACTAAAAAGGAAATAGGTTCACATAAATTGTAACAGAGGGAGTATAATTTATTATCCAAAGTATAACAGAAACATGTTATTTGGAAAATGAATGAAACGAACATGTTATGAGGAACAAATGTTGAGGAAACTGGAAGCTATGCCTATCATAATTTGTAAACTGGATGTACAGACAAGGCCTGCTCTTCCAGCTCTTCAACAGCTAATACATTCGACCGATGAAGAAGTTTTAACTGATGCATGCTGGGCACTCTCATATCTTTCCGACGGTACAAATGATAAAATTCAAGCTGTTATTGATTCTGGAGTATGTCCCCGACTGGTTGAGTTGTTAGGGTAAGTACCCTGATTTTTTTAGTGTATTTCTGGGTTATCGAGTTCTATAATTATTATCTTTCTCACTGATGGGTGGCATTTGTATGTCCTGATCTTAATTATTGTTTTTCATATTTTTAGTCATCCTTCTCCATCGGTGCTGATTCCTGCTCTAAGGACAGTTGGAAATATTGTCACCGGAGATGATATGCAAACTCAGGTATCTGTTAGAATAATTTTTCAGTTTATACAAATAATGTCTGCCTTGCGTTCGTAGTAGTCCTTGGTTCTTCCAGTGCATGATTGCTGAATGTATTTTTTTTTCCATTTCCTATGGTTTAATCTGCATCAAGCAGCATTACATTTATGTTTGTCCTCTTTACTTGATGACTTTAGGTTTATTTGTTATTTTGCAACTGCCTTTTGGATTTTTGATATTTGAGGATGGCATACTCATCTGGTGGGAAGTGTTTGATTGCTTTTCTGTGAGAGTGACTTTTCAAGTTTCACTTGACTATTATCTCGCTTTCTTTTAATTTCCCGCCCCATTGATCTACTTTGGAATTTGTGCATAGTCATTCTTTATTCTTAGCTCTTGAAATGCTCTTAACCTGATGTCGGAAACTAAAAGCAAGGACGGCAGAATAAAAGATATTTTGATGTTTCTTGACCTCATGGATGAATAATTTATAGTATTTCCGTTTATGTGATGTGTGAAACAACTTCCAATAAAACTCTTTTTTCTTGATGTATGTATTGGAGATGTAGAATGTTGAAGACCAGAAATTTCTGAACTTTCAAGAAATTGGCTGTAGAAATAAACACATTGAACTCAATTGCTGTCTCACATGTTACTGAATCTTTGGATGATATTACGTTGACAAACTGTGCTATTATTATGTTGCACGCACATGTTACTGAATCTTTTATATATACGTCATCTTATAAGTGGTTATAAATGATTATGTTGTGATATTAACTAGGACCCCAAGAATTAGGGAACTTTTCTTATTCCATGTAGTTCAAAACTCCTCTATAAGGGAGCATTTTTTTTAATTACAAGGACATTCTCTCTAAACAATTATGTCTCTTTGTTTCGGTCAGTGTATCATCAATCATCAGGCTTTGCCCTGTCTCTTGGTCTTGTTGAATGGTAATCACAAGAAAAGTATAAAGAAGGAAGCTTGTTGGACAATTTCAAACATTACAGCTGGCAACAAGGAGCAAATTCAGGTAAACAGTTGCTAGCAGTATAACATCGCTCACCCTCCGTCCACACCCCAACAGAAAAAAAACATCTGGATTACAAATTTAGCGATCTCTTTTGGCAATCCTTTAACTTCAATTGCACTTCATGGTCAAAGTATTCTTTCTTGCTGCAGTGTGTAATTGAGGCTGGTGTTTTTGGTCCACTTGTTAATTTGCTTCAAAATGCGGAGTTTGAGATTAAAAAAGAGGCTGCATGGGCAATCTCCAATGCCACATCTGGTGGTACTAATGAACAGATCAAGTAAGAATTTGATATTCTGGTTTCTCAGAACCATAATTTTTCTGGCATACACTCAGACGATCTTATTTTGTTTTGTATCATATCCTGCAGATACCTTGTAAGTCAAGGTTGTATCAAACCACTCTGTGATCTCCTAGTTTGTCCTGACCCGAGGATTGTCACAGTTTGTCTTGAAGGGCTTGAAAATATTTTGAAGGTTGGCGATGTTGAGAATTTGGGTGAGGCAGGAAATATAAACGTGTATGCTCAAATGATTGATGATGCAGACGGTATAGAAAAAATAGAGAATCTTCAAAGTCATGACAATCAAGAGATTTATGAAAAGGCTGTGAAGATTCTTGAGACGTACTGGTTGGAAGAAGATGATGAGACCATGCCACCTGGTGATGCATCCCAACAGGGTTTCCAGTTTGGAGGTGGGAATGTGTCTGTACCATCAGGGGGATTCAACTTTAACTGAAAGGTCTGTCACTGAACTTTTTATTCTTAATGTTTCTAAGAATTTGGTCAAGGAGTGATTTGCTCGTGCATATATATTTCTCTTTGTTTTTTAAGCATGGAGCATCAATTTTCAACTGCAGGATTTTTCGGGTGATGCATTACCTCTACAAGTGAAAACTGATTCTGCTGGTTCCAGTTTAAGGTTTTGCATAGCTGAAGGGCTTGCGTAGGAGCAATATCAGTGTCCTGGGCATTAGCCATTCAATCTATTTTCTATGAAGGATCCTCAAATATTCTCATTGCCTATTTCTTCTTAGCTAAGTCAAAGTCCTATATCGTTTCACCTCCCAAGCAATTGTTGGGAATTTTGCTGCGTTCCTTAAAATTCATTGTTCACCCGACTTAAATGATTTATTGACATCACATCTTCTTGGTGTTGAATTAAATTGCTTAGATCTTAGTGTTGTATTCCTTGTCTGTTTCGATGATGAAAGTTAGTAGCATTATTACATACTTCCATTGAATGCATCTAGTCTTTTGTTGGATATGCCAAACTTTGTGGCTTGATTTTATCCTCGAATGAATTAACCCATTTCTTGTGGCTGATGCTCGTTGATTTTTTAATTTCGGTGTGATTGTATATATATGGTTTTTTACATCTTCAGGATGATCTACTATAGCATGGTTTTGTGGTAATAGAGTTATAACCCGCTGTAATTGGTTGTGTAAAATTCTTTATTGCCAAATCTCTAACTGAAGGTAACAGTATTAGCCAAAATATCTCGATGAAAATTGATATAATCTATAAAAGCTTCAATACCATTCTCTGCCGACCTGCAAGTTATTATAGCAAGAAGCCGTAATTTTGATAAAAGATTGTAATTCCAATGTGAAAAGCGAAATTTTGCCAAAATTTCACGGTGTAGCCAGTTTTCGGATTGGTCAATCAAAAATAGCCAACGTTTACCAAGTTAATGAAAAATAGCCACCGTTTTGCTGCAATAGAGACCGGTCCAGCATAATATACTGGAGTTCGGTGCATTTGTGTATGAACTCCAGCATATTATGCTGGACCGGTATACTTTGCTGGCTCCAGTATAATATACTGGAGCACTGGTGCTCCAAACTCCAGTATATTATACTGGACCATTATACTTGCTGGAACTCCAGTATATTATGCTGGAGTTCTAGTGTATTTATGCTGGAACTCCATCATAGTATGCTGGAGTTCCAGCATATTATCCTGGAACTCCAATATAGTTCAAGTATACTTATGCTGGAACTCCAACATAATATACTGGAGTATTTTTCGGATTTTGAACAGTGTTTTCGCTCAGATTTATCTTTACATAAAAAGTGACTAAATTTCGATTACTTTTGAAATTGGACTATTTTTGAACGACCACTTGTAAATCTGGCTATTTTTAAAAATCACCCCGAAATTTTTGTACACTTGAATGAGTTACAGTACAAGAATAGCCACCAAATGAAGCATATTGTTTATACACAAAGGACAAAATAACAAATGTGTAGGAGCATAATATAATCAAGACTATGGTATTAATATTTAAACAAAATCTTGCAGTCACTACTAGATCGCCACTGTAAGTGTTAGAAACATACGAATCTAGAGACCCTCATTGATATTCAGCAACAAAAGTAAATGTGCTCGTATACATTCGAGCATTGGCTTCTCATTCATATGCTCCAATTCCAACTTCTCTGACTTAATAGGAAGTGTGGCATAAGGGTGAAAAGCTGTCGTGAACCGTTTCGAGTTTACACTCGCAGTTTGAACACCACAGCCGCTGTTAATGTTGTTGTTTAATGACAATGCTTTCACCGCCAATTGCTCAGCTTCTTCTTCAGTCATTCCTTTCTTCCATTCTTTCTCCAAGAAATCATTCAAATCAACATCCCCATATCCTCCTACACCAAAATTAGACTTCTCCATTACCACCCCACTAAAACCTATCTCATATATTTTGCCTCCTCCATTCTTGTCCCCTCCACCCAGAAGCACCGCAGTTTGTAACATATTTTTCTTGTTGTTAATGTCATATGCAGATAATACCATACCAACAATCTCGGCCGCAACCGTAGCAGTAGTTTCTTGATCAAGAAAGTTGCGAGCATCTTCTAGAAGGACTTGTGTATCTGCTCCAAGTGTACAGTGACACAAGAAAACATTAGCAGTCAGCTGTGTGATTATGTCAGTGGAGCCAAGAATGACGCCGCCGTCGTAAGAGACGCCGACGATGGTGGTGGTGGTTTTTGACGGGTGGGACTCGTCGGAATCAATGATGAAGATGCACATACTTCAGGTGTTAATAAACATTTATCAAACTAAGTAATGAGAATGATGTGTGGTGGATTAAACCGAGGGGTGTTTATATATAAAGAGTTTTCACGAATTTGATTCGGAGTAGGAAATAGCAGGAGATTTCCTAAATGGGATAGGGGAACCGTAGTTCTGTTACTAGTTCAAGTGGGATTATGAAAAGAATACTAGTTCAACTAGGATTATGAAGAGGAGACTTTCCTAAAATGGAATTACAGTTATTTCAACTTTAGTAATTATGATATTTTGAACCTTACCAACTCAAATTGCTTGGTTGACCCTTTCATGTTTATGTTTTGTACATATGGAATTTTGGACGATTGTTGAAATAGTGGTAGAGCCGTCAAAATGGGCTTGGCCCGTGAGGCCAGCCCGCTATTTGGGTAGGGTTGGGTTGGAAATTTTTTAGCCCATTTAAAAGTGAGGCCTATAAGCTCGGCCCGAGTCAGCCCGCTGGCCCTTGAGGCAGGGGCATTTGCACCTATACCCGCTTTTTGGGTCGCGTTTTAACTTGTGACCCTTTGCAAAAAAATTGGAAGCGTACCCGCTTTTTCGCGTAACTTCAGCATACGGGGCTGAAGTAGCAAAGGTAATCACGCAAAACTTCAGCATTCTAGTAGACGGACCTGAAGTAGCAAGTGTACTGAAGTTTTTGTTTGTAATTGCCGAACTTAAGCATAGTAGCTGAAGTTTTGTTCTCTATTTGCTGAAGTTTTTGTTTGTAATTGCACTAAATAAGCTGAAGTTTTTTTGTCCTGGATTCTTTAGTTTTGTCATTAAGTTTTTTCATAAACTTCAGCAGAAGATGCTGAAGTTATTTAGTTCATTTATAAAAACTTCAGCACTAAATAAGCTGAAGTTTTTTTGTCCTGGATAAGCTTTTTCAAAAAATTCAGCAGAAGCTGCTGAAGTTATTTAGTTCATTTGTAAAAACTTCAGCACTAAAAGTTAAAATTTTTTTGTCTTCGATTCATTAGTTTTGTCATAAAGCTTTTTCAAAAACTTCAGCAGAAGATGCTGAAGTTATTCGGTTCATTTGTAAAAACTTCAGCACTATATAAGCTGAAATTTTTGAAAAAGCTTTCTAACATACTAGATAAATAATCAGATTGCCAACAATATCTAAATCATAAATTTTGGAAACAATAAACGTGAAAAGAACAGAATTATCATTGTCTACTAACTTACGTATGTGGAAATATTCACAAATTATCGTCAATACGTAATTATTAATAATTTCTTTTTAAATAATCTGATAAATATATTTATGGCAATCATCCCATGAACTGAAGTTTCATAGCAGCACCAACAGGAGCAGAAGAAAGAAGAAGAAGAAAACGAAGGAGGAGAAGGAGGAGGAGAAAGGGGGCTGAAGTTGTTTAAAAAGTGGGTACAAGTTAAAACTTTAAAAAAAATGGGTATAGGTTAAATGGGGGCGACCAAATAGGGCGCCCCGTGCAATTTTTACCTTGAGGCTTGACTGAGGCTGGACCTGGGCCGGCCCGTGGTCCAAAAATTAAATAAATTCAAATTTAAATATTTAAAAAAAAGTAAAACCTAAATTTTTTTAAACTATAATCCCCATTTCCAACCTTAGATTTCTCATTATCCTTCCATATCAACTAGAATTTATATTTTTAATATGCATGTATGACAAGATTAGTTTTTCATTTGCTTAATTAACAACGAACTAGGAAAGTTTTAAGCGGTCAATAATAATTTTTTTCAAAAGAAAATATTACTTTAAGTGGCCAATGATTAGTTTGGTTACTTTAATATATTATTAATTATTAAATTACTCTTCAGTATAGTAAAAGGTCAAGTTTTAATAGCCAAAGAAAATTGACAACACTAACAGATTTCATGAATTCTAAAAATTTTATGGACTATAATAATGAAATCAACAATAATGTATAACCTAAATTATTAAACCTTAACATATAAACTTATTGAAGCAATTCATGAACCTAAGGAAAGTGAGATAAAAGTACTAAAAAATATTCATGTAACGTTAAAAAAAGAAGAGCTAGAGATATAGAGAATTTGCATTTCAATTACGAGATTCCTTGTCAAATATCAAGATTCTTGTACACTCTAAATAAACAAAAGTCGTTCATATGATTAAGAGATTATGCCACGAAAATATATCTAAAGATTTGAAGAAATATTTTTTTCTAAAAAAATTGAAGGGCCGGCACGCCTAGCCCGCGACCCTCATAGGGTTGGGCTGGGCTGGCCGTTTTAAAGCCCGTATAGATGGAGGGCCCGCCCGCCCTAGCCCACAAAATTTAAAAGCCCATGAGGCTTGGGCTGGATTGGGCTGGGCTAGCCCGTTTTGATAGCTCCAGATAAATATCATGGTATAGCCAGTTTTCACACTGATCAATGAAAAATAACTACTATTTTGCTGCAACAGGACCGGTCCAGTATAATATACGGGAGTTCTGGTGCATTTGTGTACGAACTCTAGCATATTATGCTGGACCGGTATACTTTGCTAACTCCTGTAAAATTTGTGGGAGACTGGAGCACCAGTGCTCCAAACTCCAGTACAATACTTTGCTAACACTTGTATAGGATTATTAGATTAATCTGAATTCAGATCTCGAAAGGTTCTTTAAAATCCGAAGTGTTTCTTACCAAAATTCTTATCATTCCCGGAATTCTAATTCAAAAACTTTGATTAAACGCAAAAAATTGTATTCATCTCACTACAATTTTTAGTGATAATTGCTTACTATACCTAAATTAGGAGCATGAACTCTATTGCATTCCTGTTGGAATCTTAAGTGGGTTGCTGCTATGAAATGAGAAATGGGGTCAAGTATTCTAATAAGATCTAGCTACTTTGAAAAGAGAGATAAGGTTAATATAATGTACTCTAATTAAGTCTGAAATCTTGTAAAACTACCTTATGGAGTCAATCATATTGCTTGCAGTTTAATATTTTAATAGTATTAGTATAATCTAATTATTTTGATATGATACTTTACCAAGTACATCATTTCTCATGAACTATAAATTTTGCACATAGACATGCCACTTTTATTGAAGAAAAGGCTAGCTAGTTCCTTAAACTTGGTGGAAACCGAACATTCCCTTTGACTACTCCAGTTAGTCTATGACATGTGTAGACAATAAATTTGCGTCAAGAAAATAAAATTAAGATCGAAAAATATCGCAACAATCGTAGTATTTTATTTCGAATATTTGAGTGTTACAATCTCTATGAATCCTCTGGTTCTTCTTTTCAATAGTAAATAAATTCAAGGGCCTTTAAGCTTGATCTTGAATTTGAATATTACTTATCCGTCGCGAACACTTTGATTGTTGCCACGAATTGTATCACGAACAAATAACATTGATCTTGAACGCCTTGTATTTAATTTGACTTCGTTCTTGATCTTGAATACTTGAATCGTTCTTCGTTCTTGAGCTTGAATTTGATTGCTTGAAGCTTGAAACTTGTAGAGAAATTTGCGGCGTTTGATGCACGAGCTCTCTCTTGCTTCTTGTTATAGCTTCTAGTGGCTTTTTTGAGTTGTGAAGACCCCTATTTATGGTTGTGGAAGGGAGGAGTCATGATAAGAACAAACTTTTTCCGACCAATCAAATTGAAGTGTGACATGACCGCATTTGATTGGCCAGAACATGTTACTTGCACACGTGGCGCGATTTCATTGGCCTTTCAGCGTGACTGTGCATGCCTTGTCATTTTGACACGTGGCATGGTCCTATTGGCTCTTCCGCTTGACTTGGCGCGCCACGTCATTTGACACGTGGCACCAAACTGAGCCTCTAGGAAGATGTCATCTTGGGCTTAATGAAGTGGGCTCATCACTTTAGCCCAATTAAATGGGCTAGCCCAATGGATTAAGACTTATTTATTTAATTTATATATGTTGGACTTACATAATTAATTTAATTATAATAGCCCAATAAATTTATTTGAACTAATATATTTTAAATTTAAAATATAATCCAAATTATTTTATGGATTTAATTCCAATAAAAGTTACTATGCCTACAACATGTATCAACACATGAATTATTAGATTTTCTTATTAATCTTTGTGTTTATTACAGAACTTTTCATCATCTTTTATTGCTTCCTTTATTACTAGTACGTACTTATTATTTTTTTTCTTGTCAATTACTTCACTTACATCATCTCTAAAAGCACACTCAAAAACCAGAGATCTAGCGCATGCAGGTCGACACGTGGCAGAGTTAACATTACTTTGGCAGGTCTTTTGTGCCGTCAAAACGCAAAATGGAAGGCCATTTTTGTCATTTAACATTGAAAAATTAGGGTTGAATCCACTTTCTTTTGCAGTCTGTCCTTTTATAATATCGAGCTCAGACCATCATTACATCAGCCCCTTCACCCCCACACCCCTGCTTCTCCCACCACCTTCCCCTCTGATCCTCCTTACTCCCCCGCATTATCAATTTTTTTTGGCTGTTTTCTTCAATTATTCCCATTTTCTTCACTTAAACTACGTCCTTTGTCGGTTCAATCTTTCTTCATTAGTTCATGGATCCAACACTAAAGGTAAATTAAGACCCTATTTATACTTCAATTTGCCAGCATTGTCGTTTTGTTTCTTATAAATTGTTACTTATACAGGAAGATTCTTTGGATAGTGAGACAACTGAGAGTACTAAATCTTGCACTGATTGCAAAACTACAAAGACACCCTTGTGGAGAGTTGGTCCTTATGGGCCTAAGGTAAGTTAATTACACCCATTTTTCGGGTCATAATCATCGATTTCTGATCTGGGTTTTGTTTCATATCAGTTGATCAGCTGCTAATTCGCATTATTAATTGCTAATTTATTGCAGTCACTGTGCAATGCTTGTGGGATCAAATACAGAAAGAAAAAGGGTACCCCATCTGGATTTAGCAAAGACCCAGAGAAGAAGAAGAAAGCGACAGACATTTCTATCAGTTGTACGGACAATCTAGCTCATAGCCAAAAGGATAAAGTTGGAAAAGATGGGAAGCTAAGCAAAGGATTGAGGGTGAGATTTATGATGTTGGGGAAAGAAGTGGTGATATTACAGAGGCAGAGATCTTCAATGAAGAAGAAGCCAACAAAGCATAGGAAATTTGGTGAAGTTGAAAGAGCTGCTCTTCTTTTGATGGCTCTGTCTTGTGGCTCTGTTTTTGCCTAAAGTCAGCACTAGTTAGTACTAATTACTAAACCCTAACCTCTTTTTTTTTTTTTTTTTTTTGCTTCTTAAAGTAGATAAACCCTTGTTTTTTTTAGCTTAGTCTAAGGTTTTAGGGGTACTATAAAAAATATTCCAGATTGGGTTAACATAAAAAAGAATCTGGTATTAGAGCCTTTTTAAAGAAATGGCTTGATTTTGGTAGCTTAGGAAAAGGAAAGGAAGAAGGTGAAATTGTATATATATGATGGTGCTGATGAATGAATATGCCCTTTTTGAGTTCTGTCTATTTGCTGCCCAAATTGGATTATTCATTTGATAGTTTGCAATTGTTAAATCTGTTTGTTCTACGAAGTTGATGAAGGACCTCAAAAGTTTTGCCAATCTCTTTTTTCTATTAGGGACTAGGGTGGGTAGGTGAAATAATTTCAAATTACTCTTTGATGTTGAAGACACCGTGCTGTAGTTTAATAGGATTAATTCAACTTTTGTTGTTCTGTTTTATGCTAATTCATTAGTTCTAACTTGGAGGAGAGAAAAGAAAGGGCTTGATTTTGGTATTAATATATGGTTAAATAATCAGAGCCTTCGAAAGAAAGGGCTTGATTTTGGTATTAGGAAAAGATAGGAACAACTTTATAAGTTGTATGATGTATGAAGGACAAGGTGCTGATGATTGGAAATGCCATTTTAGATTTGTCAATTGTTGTCTAATTGCTTTCCTAAAATGGATCACACAATTGACATTCTGCAAATGTTTATTTTTGGTTGTCTTGTAAAGTAATCACTCAAAATTTTGGCCAATTTCATGTTTTCTTCAATGGGATATATATTGCAAGTTGCGGATGTGTTCCACACGGATACAAATTGTTGTGTTTCTAATTTGAAGCCTTCAATTATTCTCTTTGCAAGTTGCCAATTTCTTTTTTATACTCCTATTGACTAGTTTTACTACATATTTTTATGCCAATTTGTTCCAAATAATTTTGTTCATTATTTGGTCGTATGTACTTCTCTAATAAACTTTTCCAGCAACGCCTTTATATGTTTGAAATAACTAGTTTTCGGACACGTGTGAACCCAACATCCATCATTACTTAACTTGTAGTGTTTAACTTAAAAAATATATATTATCTCCTATATATATATATATATATATATATATATATATATATATATATATATATATATATATACTAGTTTCTCCACACGTGCGTTGCACGTGTATGCCAAGTCATATGGTACACAAATTTGAAAATAAAATCAATATGTGTATGCCAGGTCATATGGTACATAAATTTGAAAATAAAATCAATATTATTACAAAATTTTGATTAAATAATTATACACGAAAAAATAATTTTGTGCATTATCAATACGGTTTATCGTATAGAGACTTATTTGTTGATAGTGTCCAGTTCCTCATTATCCTTAGATAGGTCAATGCAATTGGCATAACAATCGCTCTCGATGTTTCCTTAGATAGTGTAGTCTTTCCCGTTCCTAAAATAAACATGTCCACAAAAAGAAACATAAGTTACATTGTGGATGGTGAAATTTTCTATGAAATATAAACGGCACCTATCAGAGGCTTTTTTTTTTTTTTTTTTTTTTTTTTTTTTGTGTGGTAATAAACGATAATATTTCATTAAAACAAAACATATTACATAAGGGGAGCTGTTTCATGGTGGTTGTACAGTAACATTATACATGAGTGTTTGTGCATACCTAGGTGGGTCTAAAGTAGGAAGTAATGACAAAAAGGGAGCTACATTATACATGAGTATCCGCATTCAGTAGATCCAAAATAAAAGAGGACGCCTCATAGTATATGTTGGTGGTGACATCTGTTGATGTATCAAAAACGTGCTTTGCTAAGCCATCTGCAACCATATTTATGTATACTTGATCAAGGGATTACCAGTTGTTGGAGGACGGATCTGCAATCATTTAACAAATGTAAGTAAGTTGCTTGTTGAAAATGGATGACCAATCTGTTTATATTATACATGATAATCCCAAGAAGAGGGCTACATCTCCTTTTTTCCCATATTGCGTTAGTGTAGAGAGAGAATTTGGTGCTTACGCTGAAAAGTCTTTTTTTGTTGGAAAAATGATATTGTATAGTCCCTCTCAATATAATAACTGAAAAAATATATATTTTTTTTGTGTATATATACATTCTGTATATTATATACAAGTTGTATATACTTTTCGACTACCAAATATAAATAATTTATGGCGTGGGCTAAAAGTGATAATACCTCTTTCTTGTTTCCCTAGCATATTGTGTAGTCATATAGTGGGAGCAATGGTTACATGTGAATTTACCAGCATTTGTATATTATGAAGATCGAAATACCAAACAGTAATATGGTTACATGTTTGGCAATTCTATTAATGATTCACTTATACAAGAGTATCGGTTGTAAAATCCATAAATAGATATTTTCAAAGTAAAGGGTATACTACTAAATGCTAATATGTTAAAAGGGTTCTTTTAACATATTGACAGCCGAATTGAGCTTCATTTCTCAGTCAAAACATGCCCGTAACACGTTTAAGATTTTGATCATTAAAAGGCTTCTTCAGTAAATGTGCAAGGTCTCTTGTTTCCCTTAGATTATACATATCTATGTTCCAATAACAATTAATTGCAGGTGCAACAATTAAAAACATTGATGTATATAGGTTGTGGCATCAGTTGCTCCACTCATTGTTAATTTTGTTCTCTGGCACAAGCCAATAAAAAGAACATAGCTTTAAGACTATTGTTTGATTACGATAAGAAGAATAGCATCTAGGAAAGCAAGTACAATAATAGCAATGCCGTATAGGCTATGAAATTTAGCTCTTAGGGCAGAGGATGAACATGGTGTAAGCTATTTGAAAGATTCAAAGATGAATCCTTGAATTCAGCTATATATTATATGTAAGTTACCGATATGAGATAAAATGGTGTGATAATCAAATAAACAAGGTTAGATTTCCAAAATCTCTCCTCTCAAAAACCCAACGCGAAGATGAATGATCGGTTCTAGGGAATTGCTTCGATAACATGAATCTACAAGACAAAATATAATCCAATAGCTCCAAGCCTCCAACATTGACAAACAAAGAATTATGTAACTTGGGATAAATCATTAATAGTTAAAATCTTATGGCACAGACGGAACAAATACTCTTGTAACAATAGTAACATTCTAAGTGTAATAGTAAATAAAGTAAGATAGATTATGTACTTTCTATTATGAGTAATATTCTTGTTTGAAATTGTTTTGATTAATTAATTAGTAAAATAATAACAATTTTCAAATGAAAGTTCCTTTCAAACAAAAATTAAACTTTAAATGTTTGTTCCAAACAAACTCCAAACTTTGCTAACAAGCGATTAACTTACGCCAAAATACTCCATATAAAAAAAACCTCCTAATACCATCAGGTGACAAAAATATATATATGCATGTGAAGTCAGTATCAACCCTAAATTTTGAATGAATAAATGTCTATTGCAATAATCAGTAAAAATAGCACGGGCTAGCCAATTTTCGGACTGGTCATTCAAAAATAGCCAGCGTTTGCAAAGTCATTGAAAAATAGCCACTATTTTATTGGACTGGTATATTATACTGGAACTCCAGTATAATATGCTGGAAGTCCAGTGTATTACACTGGAACTCCAGTATATTATGCTGGAGTTCCAGTTTATTATATCGGAATTCCAGTATATTATGCTGGAGTATTTTCCGGATTTTTAACAATGTTCTCGTTCATATTTATCTTTATATGAAAAGTGGCTAAATTTCGAGTACTTTTGAAACTGTGGCTATTTTTGAGTCCGCACTTCAATTGGCTAAATACTCAAGCCATAAATTCAATAACAATCATGTTAATTGAGTCGTCGTCCATGATTATTCCAAATCAACAAAAATAATCAACGAATTAGTATCATTGAGTAAGCAAACATAAATTGTTACACAAAACTTGTTACAAGAGTACAGGCTAGAAAATTAAAATAAACAATTACTTGAAAGGATATAGATAGACCTTTAACCACCCAGCGCCAAATTTCTTCCTTTTTCAATCATGATTTATCATAATGATAATGTCCAATGAAAAATAATTAAAAATAAATACCTTACTATGTTTGTTTGGTTCGGACGATCAGATTTCTAATTTTTATGCAATTCTCCTAATAACTTGTACCATCAAATATCAAAAAGAAGACAAATATGTAATAAAATCAAAAATAATGAACCTGGTTGCTCATTAGGAGATGCATGTGTGACACTGTGCGCCATTTCTCAAGCAAGTAGATTTGGGGAAAACTATAAGAAGAAAATTGATGGAAAATTGCCATGAGGCTCTAAATTTTAAAGAGAAAGAAAATTAAACGATGCAACTGTTGGGGAGATGATTTTAGAACGATGTTCTCTTTGCGTCTGTCGCCAAGGAGCGCAAGGAAGCAGGGGACGTTTCCGTAGTCGCGTGTAGCGGATGTTTTTAAGGTTATTTTAAAAGAACAAATTTAATAAGATACGGGTAATTTTGTAATTTAACTTTTAAGTTAAGAGTTTCCTGTTTTTAATATATTATAGATATATATATGTGTGTATGTGTTTTCTTAAATGGTTGAGTTTAAAATAAAATTTATAGCATACAAAAAACTAATATTGTGTAGCATTTACTATTTTTTAACCTCTTAACTTTCTTTCTTGAGTGATGCACGTAACTGGAAGTAATTTTTTTTTTTTTTTTTTGGAAATAGGGATAGATTCATTCATAAAAGATTAGGGGGGCATTACATCACTGTTAGTAGTAGCAGGAATAATACTAAGGTTTTCAAGTACTGCTAATATATTACATATAGAGCTTGATATTAGTCTAGTAGTTAAAACTTCATTTTTATCGTCTTGGATTGCCTTCTTTACTGCATCCGGAGGTGAGTGCAAAATAATAGTTGTAGAGCTTAGGTGATGCTTGGAACCCCATTTACACAAAAAATGTGCCACCTTGTTGCCTTCGCGGAAACTATGCCGGATCACTGGATTCCCCAGTTTATTCAACAAGTACCTGCATTCCAAGATAAAGTTAGTAATAGCAGGGGATATATTATGTTGAAGCAGTTTAATTATATCCGTTGAGTCAGTGTCAATCTCCAGTGGTGCTAGTCGTTTTTCATATGCCAGATTCAAACCTGACTGGAGTGCTTGCAATTCTGCATGTGTGGAGTTATGGGCTTTGATCCTGTTGAAGAAGCCTATAATCCAGTCTCCACAACTATTTCTAATTATACCCCCAATGCCTCCCGTGTTATGTTTATCCATGGAGGCATCAATATTTAGCTTGTACTTGTGAGATGGTGGTGGTTACCACTTGATGTGTACCGAAGTTTTGTGTTTTGTGCCTTTATAGTTGGATGCTAATAACTTAAACTCAATGGCTCGTGTATTAACCATGTGGTAGTTTATGGTGTTTGAAGAATTATGAAAGCAGTTGTTGTTTCTATTTAGCCAGAGATGCCATATTGCAAAAGGAAAGATATCCTCCCAGGTTATGGAGCTATAGTTAACCGGTATTTGGAGGTTTTTAATAGCTAGAAGCCAGTATTTGTTGCGAGGGATGTTGTTAGTGTCCATGCCTATAGTATCCCAAAAGATCCGGGCTACAGAGAAGTCGAGGAAGATGTGAGTTATGGTTTCTTCTGCTCTTTTACAAATTGTGCAAGTATTCTCCATTGTAACTTCGATTTGATGAAGGTAGGAGTTTGTGGGCAGTCTATTTTTAAAACACTGCCATAGAAAAAATTTGATTTTGTTTAGGGTGTGTAGTTTCCAGATCCAATCATAGTCGGTTGTTTTTGGGATGTGTTGATGCAGTAATTTGTAGACTGAGTGAGTGGTAAAGGTGCCATTTGTGTTTGGCATCCACAGGGGTGTGTCTACTGCATGGGGGTTTTGTGTGAAGGGGCTGGGAGTGATGTCTGAGGTAATATTGGTGGGTAGTTCAAATGATATTTTTGACCAGTCCCACTGGTTATTTACCCAGACCTGATCCAGGGTCAGGTTGCTCTCATTTTTGGTTAGGGGACCATGAATGATTGAGCGAATGTTCGTTTTGTTTGGGGCCCAGCAGCCATAGTAGAAGTTTATGAATTTGCCATTTCCAATATCCCAAGCAAGTCCCTTGCTGATGGTTTCCCACCCTTTCATGACATTTTGCCAAATGAAGGAGGTGGCCTTGATATTGATTCTGTTACAGTTGTTCTGGATTAGAGTATCTGCCCACAGTGTGGATGGGTGAATAGTCTCCAAGCAAGACCTGCTAGAATGGCTTGGTTTTTATGCCCTGCCTTTGGTATCCCTAGGCCACCTGGATCCTTTGGAAGGGTTACAACATCCCACGAAACGTAATGGATCTTCTTTTAGTAGCGGTTGTCCCCCAAATAAAATCTCGCTGGATTTTGTCAATTTGGTGAAGAGTTTTCTTTGGGAGGGATATGTATTGCATATTGAAGTTAGGGATAGCATTGAGGGCTGCTTTTGCAAGGGTTGCTCGGCCTGCAAGTGTCAGAAAGTTTGTTTTCCAGCTAGGGAGCTTATTTCTCATGTTGTCAATTACAAATTGAAAATCCAATGGTTTGGGCCTATTATTGGTAATTGGGAAGCCTAAATATTTTCCAAACTGGCTGGTATGTTTAATGTTGAAAAGGTTGATTGTGTAGTCTTTTATGGTAGTAGAGCAATTGCCGGAGAATAGAATTTTTGATTTATTGTTGTTGATTTTGTGGCCTGAGAGGGAGCAAAAGATTGTTAGAGAATGATGAATAGAATTGATTGTTTTTCTATTTGCTTGGGCCATGAATGTTAAGTCGTTTGCGTAAAAGATATGTGATATTAGGGGTCCTTTTGGTCCAATTTTGATTGGGTTCCATAGGGAAATATCGACTTGATGATGTATGCAAACTGATAGCAATTCCATGGTAAGGATGAACAGGTAAGGGGATAGTGGGTCCCCTTGTCTAATCCCTCTCGATGGTTCAAAGTAATTTGTTTGGCCCCCATTGACTAAGACAGCTATTTGACCAGTGGTTATGCAGTTCATGATCAGGGATGTGATTTTTGATGGGAATTTAAAGAAAATGAGGGCCTTGTAGGCAAAAGACCATTCTAACCTATCAAAAGCTTTTTCAAGGTCTATTTTAATAATTAATTGACCATTTCTCCCTTTCTTTTTTTTGAATTGGTTGATCACTTCTTGAATAATAATGCCATTATCACAAGCCCTCCTACCTTTTAAAAAACTTGCTTGACAAGGACTAATTAGTTCAGGAAGAAAGTATTACTTCTAATTTTATAGGCCTTTGCAACACCACTTATAAAATTGGAAGTAATATTAATCGCCTTTAATTTGTTTGTTAACACTATGTTTAAGTAATTTTTTTTATAAAAAAAAGAAAAGAAAGGCAGATTCAGTTGTCAATGCTACAGCATTTTAGCAACGATTTCAACTATTTGTAATTTCTTTCAAGATCATTCATTTATCAATTTGTAATAAAATATTAACCCTCTAATTTTGTAATATTCACGTCATGATTAAACTCATAAAAACTAAAGATCTAAACCTTAATAGAAATGAAAAGGGATAAAATTTAAAAATAGCTAAACGAAAATAATTACAAAGCGTAAGATATCATTTGATACGTCCTTCAAACACAAAAATATAACATGCTTTTTTCTCCATAAATAGTTGTACATTATTGCAACCATAGTACACTAAAAAAGAATGTATCAATTCACTGGTGGTCTTCATCATCTGTGAAGTTTGAAGGTAGTGAGAGTTGAAACTATTATGATTCAAGCATTTATCATATCTACATACTTCTCCAACTCTCAATTTCTTTTATGATCCTGCAAATTTTATCGATGGAAATGAAAAAAGGAAGAAAATGAGAATGTAACATCAAAGAAAATCTGCTACCCTAAAAGCGTCCTTGAGGGAAGTGGAAATTATTTTGTTGCTTTATGTAGTTCGTTGTTGTTCTTTGGGCTTCCTTTTATATATTTACTAATGGAATTAAACCTCCATTAACTTACGTAGGTATAACTCCTCTATAGATTTTTGTAGTAACCAATAGGTTGGCTAAGTTGGTCAGTGTTTCTTTTCGTTTTAATGCACTGGTTAACGGAGGAATAAGTTACAAGAGTTATATAGAAGATGAAATGTGAAAAGTTTGACATTGTAAATAATAATTAAAAAAAACAACAACTGAAATTATTCATTTAATAGAAGGTTTTATTTTTTGGGGTGAAGGACAAAATGATCACTCAGCTTCTAATGGGTAATTTGGTAATTCTATTTTAACATTTGAAGCTTCCCACTTTTAGTATAATATGATATGATATGATATGATGATACGACATGATTGTTTAGGTGTACTGACAAAGTAATTTAACTTCGTGCAAAATCCTTATCGTCATTGTCAGTATAAAAGTTACTAATTTTGACTTATTATGAACAATTATTTACGGTTATTTTAAGTGACTGAATAGTGTAAATTTCATCACTGTCAATATAAAAGTTAAATTTTGCAAAATTAACCATGCTTTTGGGTGGAAAATTCCGGGGCAATATTCTTGGCAACTTGGCATTATAAACGATTTGGAGGCACCAAATTTTAATCTATAAAACTACGAAAATTATTCAAATCATGCATTTAGGTACGGTAAGGTTGAATTGCGAACAAGTTCAGCTTCCTCGTGTAGTCCCCGCATTAATTTGACTTTATAACTTAAGAAAAATTCTTGATGTTGAGGGATTGTGTGGTACTGTTAGATTCATACGCAGAACAAGAAGAAGAGAGAAGAAGATTCACAGTTTGGAAAATAGCTCAACTCATTGATCTTGGCATAAACAGACTATATACAAGTATAACTAACAGTTAGTTACTAAGTATCTAAATTAAATTTAACATACCACAACTTCTAATATGTAAACTGATAATAGGTGAATTTAACTATAATCACGCCTTAAATAATCACCTTCTTGTATAGCTTTGATGATAAAAGTGATAACAAAATGCTCTTATTAGTGCTTTTCATGATTTGCAGGTGATATATGATCAGGGAAGGCTAGGGAGTATTTTTGGAGTCAAAATGAAGAAAAAGAGGCCAACTGTGAAATTCCCCAAAGAAACCACGCAAAACAGGCCTGAAGATTCAGAAGACTGGTTGACCGCGGTTCCACCGCGACCGCGGTAGAACCGCGGTGGAAAATAGCTGCGGATAACTTCAGATTCAGAGAAGACATTTGGCCGCGGTTTGACCGCGACCGCGGCAGAACCGCGGCGGAAGCAGAAAACTTTAGGGACTAAAGTGTAAAATACGGGATTTTTAGACCTAAACCCTATTTTAAATACAAGACTTCGCCCAAGAGAGGCATGTATTGAATTTTAGAGTATCTTGGCAAGGAAAACAATTGTGAGAGATCACCCAAAACATCTTTCTTCTTTTCTTTGATTTTTATTGCTAGTTATGATGAATTCTATCTTAGTTTGTTTTCCCATAGCCATGAGTAGCTAAATCCTTTGTCTAAGGCTTTGATGGAACCTATTGGGGGATGAACATCTTGTTTATGTTAATACAATTTGCTAGTTTCAATCTCTATTTGTTCACTTTGTGCTTGTTGTAGTTAATTGACAGGATCCTCAATTAGCTGTGCCTATTTAGTGTGCATAACTTGGGAAAGAGTGCATATTTAGGTTATTATTGAACAACACCACTCCCAAAGTATAAGAGGAATCTATAATTGCGGGTTTAAAGGCGGGATTAGGGATAACGAAGCCTTGGGTGTAATCTAAAGTGAATTGTGCTAAATAAAGTAAGCTAGTGTATCTCGGGAGAGTGCAACTAGTATATTACTGTAATTACTCGGGAGAGATTTACGGTAAGGTGAGCGTTCATGATTAATAGAGATGTATTGGTAAATTTGTATGAGCATAAACAGAAGGGATTCTTTCAATATGGGAAATCATTGCCTTAGCTTCTTCTCATCATTGTTTACAACCTTAGCATTTTAATTTATAGCTGTTTGATTTACTTGAAATCGTAGTTAGTAAAGCAACCTTCAACTGTGATTCAAACATCTGGAAAACTGGTTCTGAAGAGTTTAGTGGGTCTAAAGATAGTGATTGATAGGTTAACTCTCTGTAGATTCGACCCTGGGCGTAATACTCGGGTTATATTTGCAACGTCCGCAGAGTCTTTTTTATAAGGCATAGTTGGGTGTGATCAAATTTTGGAATTCCCCAAAGAAACCACGCAAAACA